CCTTGAAAAGTACGGTAGTACAGTACAACAGCCGGCATACAGGGGTTGGCATCGAGTGAACGGGCAAGAAGAGTTACTGGCTGGAGGAGGGAGAGGAGGTGGGAGATAGCAGAGCTGTAGGATTGGCAGCAATAGGAGATGGAGGGTAAGCTGCAATTTCGCTCATACCTGATGCTGATGGCACAGGTTCTGTTTCTTTGATGGATTCAGTTATATCTACTCTCTTAAAAAAATGATCCAGTGATGTCTGGGCAGTAGCTCTTTTTTTTTAGTCATAGATGACATCCTGGGCTTGAAATAAAGATATGTACTACTGTACTCTATACAGTACTGTACTGTAAAGTACACAAAAGCACAACTTGAAGGTTCATATGTAGGGGACTTACTGTAATATGGGATGAAAGGTTCTAGACGTGTTGCAAGACTTTGATCCTTATTGAAATTTTTTTAGGAAAAGAGGAAATAATCACTCATTAACCACTTTTTCTTTTTATAGAAGGTATAAAATGACGATTAAGGGAAATGGAATAGCCTGGACTCTGTTACAAGTTAATAAAATCTCTACAACCTCTACCCCTGGTATCAATTTAGGAGCTATGTTCCATATAATTACCAGACTGATGACTAATTAACTCACCAGAGTTATCAGTTTGTCTTCCAAAGTATATTACTTTGTAAATGAACAGCTGAGTGTATTGAAAGAACTGTGTATATACCCTTGTTTCTCAGCAGAGAGCACTGTCAGGTCAATTGCCTGTGCAAGATCTCACCTAAGATGTGCGTATTCTAGGCCAGTTAAACAGTAACTGCTGGTGACACCAAGCAAGGTAGGGTATTGCCAAATCTGTAAACCTTGATTATTGCCATGCCATTGTCTGTTTTTCCTTAGAGTTTATACCTCTATTCCCAAATAACTTATTCTGGCAATCCATTTGCTTAAGAATGTTTATAGCATTCTTGATTATGGTACGTTACATCAGTGTGGTTACTTTCTCATTGGGAGAAAACAGAATCAATGTCCAAGTGGCCATAAATACTACTTTTTCCCCTTAGTTTTCCAGCCTTTTGGAATGGTTATTTATCTGCAAACACATATCACATTAGCTCAAGTTATTTGTTTGGTTCCACAAGCTATACTGGACTCTCAAATTTTAAAGAGCAAGCACTTCTTCATGTCCATCTTTGTATCTCCAATTCCAATCATATAGATAGCATTCAGTAAATCTCTTCATACCTCAGTAGAAGTGCTCATTACAGTGTAAAACAATGATTTTTTTAATTTTTGGTTTGCACCAGATAGTTACAGTTTAGGCCAGTGTCCTAGTACAATTATTATTATTTTCTAAATAAATTTATTTAATTTATTAATTTTTGACTGTATTGGGTCTTTGTTGCTGCACACGGGCTTTCTCTAGTTGTGGTGAGCGGTGGCTACTCTTCATTGTGGTGTGCGGGCTTCTCATCACGGTGGCTTCTCTTGTTGCGGAACACAGGCTCTAGGTGTGTGAACTTCAGTAGTTGTGGCACACAGGCTCAGTAGTTGTGGCTCGTGGGCTCTAGAGCCCAGGCTCAGTAATTGTGGTGCACGAGCTTACTTGTTCTGTTGACATGTGGGATCTTCCCGGACCAGGGATGGAGCCTGTGTCCCCTGAATTGGCAGGGGGATTCTTAATCACTGCATCACCAGGGAAGTCCCTCTAGTACAGTTATTAACAGTGATTCCCTTCTTACTCAAAAGTGTCCCAATTTAGATGGTAAATTATATGGTCACACCATTTATGTATGTTTTTCTGCCACTTAATGGAGTTCCTTTATGGCAAAGGCCATCTTTGCATCCTCAGGATTTAGCTCAGCATCAAACATAGTGGACCCTCAATAAAGGTTTTCAAAACTGATTAGGTTAAAAAAATCATGAAATATCATAAGTGATTTTCCACACATGAAAAATTTTTGAGAAAGAAGTAAAAAAGGTATCTATATCATTCAGGGAGCTGGCAGGACACAGAGTGCACATTCAAATTGGGTGAGAGTTTAATAAATGGACTCTGTATAAAGAGGTGGAAAAAATGAGGGAAAGAATAAAGGTTAAAATAAAGGAAAGAATAAAAAACATAAAGGAAAAAATAAAAGTTATTCTGTGTAAAGATGTGAAAAAAAACGTAAGGGAAAGAATAATGGTGATTAATAAGGGAGTAGCAAGACATGACTATCTAGGCTGTTGTAGGAGAGGTAGAAACAGTTAAATTCAGGGAATAGGAAGATGCTTGGAGAAGGCTTCATTATAAGAGCTATGGTCTTCAGTTAGGGAATGCGGCCAGCCCATGTTGATGCTGCGGACAGGAAACAAAGAGATTACATAACCTATTCTTACTCTTCTCCCTTTCTTCAATCTTTTATTGGCTAAATGCAAGGAGAAGCCAGAGGGCAAGGAAGCTTGTTGATATCCATTCATGTCAGCCTCTTGGAATATAGAACATTGTAGAGAAAGAAGAAAGTGGACCTTTTGGGGGTAAACATAAGACTAGGAGCAGAACTAGGAGAGGAAAATAAAATAATATTAGATATCTGGCATGAGATGGCTGGCCAGGGCTAGACTTCCGTGCATGAAGCAGTACCATCTGTGTGCAGCTAATACCTAACAAGCAGTGACAATACATGTGTTGATAGATAATATCATTTGGTTTCTTCAGAGCTTTAAGAAATAAAAATAATATTCTGACTCTACATTTATTAATTCAGTGATTTTCCCTGTGGTCATCTCTGACTCGTGAACATGTAAAGATAGTAATCCAGGGGCTCCTAAATATGCCTTCTTTCAAAATGGAAATATTTTTATTTCTCTGATTGAAAAAATAATGTTTTTTAAAAGTGATGGAAAAATTTAAGAAAAATAGTAAGTAAAGAGCTATAATTCCACTATTCAGAGATAGTTTCCTTATGCATATATGTGCCTGCATATGTATGTATTTCATATTCATGTGGGCATATACACATTTGTAAGTTTTAAAAATATGTTTCTTAGATTGACATATACAAACTACTACATATAAAATAGATAACTAATAAGGACCTACTCTATAGCACAGGGAACTCTACTTAATACTCCACAATGACCTATATGGGAAAAGAATCTAAAAGAGAGTTGATATATGTGTATGTATAATTGATTCACTTTGCTGTACAGCAAAGTAACACAACATTGTAAATCAACAATACTCCAATAAAAATTTTAAGAAATATATATTTCTTAAAATATATTGTATATATATATAATAACATAATTATAAAGGAATATTTCTGTGTAGATCTTATCCCCTTGTACCTAAGAAATAACTGAGATTAAAATAGATTGCATGGCACCTCCATGGGCAGATCTGAGGTTTAAACTAAGACATGTCTGATTTCAAGATAGTCATTGGCTCTTTCACTTCAAAATCTTATCTTCTGCAATAAGGGGTGTTCACAGAAGCACAAAATTTAATACCACCTTTTCAAGGTACCCATTTTGTGAATGGTGGGATTAGATGCTGTGGCTCAGTGATTAGTCAGTTTTGAGGTCTGTGATTGAGCTAGTAGGCACTTAAGATCAATCAAAAGACTACATATGTAGCAAATGTACCAAAGTTGCCTGAATAAATTGTTATGACTTGGAATACATCAGAAACTCTACAACTAGTATTTCCTCAGGAAAAGACATATAAAGCAAGCAAGCAAGAAAGAAAACCCACCCATATCCCCAAAATAAATAAATAAGTAGGACAACTTAAATTCTGAAATTTTCAAATAGAATTTTTAGGTTAGGTGCACTAAACATTTCCCTTCCATTTATTGTTCTATCAATTTCTCTTATTTCTTTCTTTCTTTTTTAATGCCAAGGAAGAATTACAGGGAGACCATATGAAATAACAGCAAATGTAAATAAAATAGCAGTGATTTATGTTTTAACAGGTGCAATAAGTTGATTAAAAAATTGTACTGGAAACTGCTTATTTGATAAAATATATATTTGAAATAACTGGTAAGGAGTTGATAATAAAGTTGTTTTAATATTCTAGCTATTGTACAATAGCTTTCATTTATGGCAAAAAAAGAAAAAAATCATGATATTAGTGCTGAGTTGTTCAATCTTGTACATGACTTTTCCAGTCCAAATTATGACTTTGGCCAGTCAGAATAGTTTGCTTTATTTTGGTTGTAATTACGTAGTAATGTTTTCATGAAAAGGGCTTAGAAATGAAAAAAAAAAAATTATGTTTTGGCAAGTTACAACTCCTGAGATCCTCAGTTTCCCAATTTAAAGATGAAAAGAAAGCATCAAATATACACATTCCCTTTGACTGGAAAGAGACCAAAGAGTGGATATGTTGACATAAATATATATCACTATATATTGTAGAATTAACCAAAACAACTGCTAGAAACTACATTGAGAATGATGGTGCTAAACTAATAGCAATTTATAACTAAAAAACAACAGCAGTTAAAACCATGAAAGCCTCAAAATGTACTGCCTTCCTAAAAATTTTGGAATTCCCAAAGTTCATGTGGTTAGTGGGAACTTTGCTATGTTGTTAAATGTTGTCAAGATTTAGCAGTAGATTAATGAAATAGGTTCTTCAGTAAACTCTTGCAACATGCAAATTTTTGTAACAATTCATAACCCAGCAGTCACAAATAAGAAGCTTTCAGTTCTTATAAGTGAAAATTCATGGTTTGCAGTAAGTGAACTCACAGATCACGGGACCCTCTTCACCAAAACGTGTCTTTAGATCCCTTGATTTGAAAATACAGTGTGTAAAAATGAATCGTAAAGGCTTCCTAGGGACTTAGAATTGCTACAGTGCACCATAGGTTACAACCAGCTGGGGATAAACTCCTTTATGCTTTACCAATTTCTACCAAAGATCACAGAGTTAATTTGTGATTTTAGGGTTAGGCAGTTGCACACAAATATATTTACTTTGTCTTAGAGTTTGCTTATGATACGAGATATGTGTAAAATTGGGAAATTGTCAAAGGAGAACTAAAAAAAAAATGGGATGGTTGCTTTTTATAAAGTGGATTTTCATGGAACATTTTGGCAAAGGCCAGTTCAGACCACACACCTTCCAAACTTGAGTCTTGTTAAACTGCAAAGCCATGGATGGACCCAGTATAATTCAGAAGTTTCACAAGTCTCCTAAAATGACTTCTCACCTGAGCCAGGCATTCAAGTGCAGGCCACTTTGTATTGTTTCACAGCAGGATCTTGCATTCTTTGAGTGATGTTGCCATTTGTTGGAGTTCCCAGCAGGGCAGCTCTTCCACCCAGTTGCAACCAATTTCACTGATCAGTAGCTCCTGGTTAGCTTCACCCTATATATTCAATAATTCATTTGGCAGTTGCAAAGTAGACAGATCTTTAAGAAAACTCAAGATTTTAGGAGAATTAGAAAAAGACTCACTGATTATTTGTTTCTTGATTCTGACATTTAATTTGGATATTGAGGAGGATTTACTAGTCTCAAAGTGTTTATACTACAGAGATTTTTATTACTTAATTTTTATTCTTCTTTTAAAAAAAACTTCATCCCTGTTGTCTATTTAATGCCTTGGATATCAATAGGTTGTTCAGATCTGCCCAGTCATTGGACTGTAGATTTAGATTTATGAAACATAGAAACAGGGAGTATTTGCTTGCAGAAACCTCTGCCCCAATATACCCAACATTGTCTGGGTTTATTTCTTAGTTCTGCTACTAATAAGTGGGGTAAACTTGAGGGAGGTAGATAAACCTCTCTGTACTTCATCAATAACCTGGGGTACTAATAATATCACCCTTGTACTTCAGGAGACTAATGATACTAAATTCATTTAATTAATTAATATATGTATAAAATACCTTAAAGCAGTAGTAAGCATATAGTAGGCACTTAGTGAGTGTTAACTCATTATAATTATTATACTCACTTTTGAATAAATATGTATCTATCATTTGGTAATTGCTTTCCTATGTGACCACAAATTGCTGTTTCTGTTTTATTTTTAACATATATTTTTCTTAAATAGGTAATACATTTTAAAAAGGTAAAATGCTAAAGGATATATAGTGAAAAGTAAGTTTCTTGTCCTCACAGTGCCCCAATTGCTATTTCAACCAGTGATGTTTTATGCTAACATCTATTTATTTAAGCTTTCATTTGAAGCATTAAAAGAACATGGTGAACACAAAATGAAGGATGTTATTCAAAAGGAAATACATTTTTATCTCATTTTTGTTGTTTATAATGATAGTAATAATAATAGAGTAATCTTGAAAAAAACTGTTTTTGATAGGGTACTTGTTATGTAGCAGGCATTCTGCTACTACTGTGCTTAATGCATTATGTCATTCAGTAATCACAATTTTGTGAGGTAGGTGCTATTATTAACTCAATTTTATAGATAATATCCTAAGAATAGCCAACTGGGATTAAACATTATGCTTTTAAAATTTAAGTTGTTTAAGTTGCCAGAGAGTAGAGAAATCCAAATACATTGTGTTTCTTTGAAAGGAATCTTATAGTCTACCTTTGTTTTCTATTCCCTTTTAAATACCGCCCACTTTTTTTTTTTATCAAGTTTATCTAATTTTTCTTGTGCTTTTGGTGCCAAATCTAAGAAACTATTGCCTAATCCAAAATCATGAGGATTTACTCCTGTGTTTTCTTCTGAGTTTTTGTTTTGTTTTTTTATTAGTTATCTATTTTATACATATTAGTGTATATATGTCAATCCCAATCTCCCAGTTCATCCCACCACCACCCCCCTGCCCACTTTCCTCCCTTGGTGTCCATATGTTTGTTCTCAGTATCTGCATCTCTATTTCTGCCTTGCAAACCAGTTCATCTGTACCATTTTTCTAGATTCCATATATATGCGTTTATATACGATACTTGTTTTTCTCTTTCTGACTTACTTCACTCTGTATGAGTCTCTAGGTCCATCCATGTCTCTACAAATGACCCAATTTAGTTCCTTTTTATGGCTGAGTAATATTCCATTGTATATATGTACCACAACTTCTTTATCCATTCATCTATCAGTGGGCATTTAGGTTGCTTCCATGTCCTGGCTATTGTAAATAGTGCTGCAATGAACATTGGGGTGCATGTGTCTTTTTGATTTATGGTTTTCTCAGGGTATATGCCCAGTAGTGGGACTGCTGGGTCATATGGTAGTTCTATTTTTAGTTTTTTAAGGAACCTCCATACTGTTCTCCATAGTGGCTCTATCAATATACATTCCCACCAACAGTGCAAGAGGGTTCCCTTTTCTCCACACCCTCTCCAGCATTTGTTGTTTGTAGATTTTCTGATGATGCCCATTCTAACCGGTGTGAGGTGGTACCTCATTGTAGTTTTGATTTGCATTTTTCTAATAATTGTTGATGCTGAGCAGATTTTCATGTGCATCTTGGAATACCACCTACTTTTGATGGAGGAAATAACCCCAATCTAGACTCCTTGTCCAGTCTCCAATTCATTTTACATTGTCAACAGTTTGTACATTCCAAAACTCCAATGTTATGAAGTCTCTTGTTTGCTCAGAAGACCTAACTCCCCTCTGCTGAGATATTTACAAACCACTTATCCTGACTCCCAAGGTCTTGATTTGCCTACATCTTAACTAGCAGCTTTATTTCCCATAATGCACCTACTTTGGCTTAATTAATAAAGGTTACTTAACCATTTCCTTATCACACAGCTAAAAAATACTAAAACAATTCTCTTTAGGATGTGGAATGATGAAGTTCAATCTTTTGGCTTCGATAATTTGGATAGTGTAAAACAAAGTTTTCTCACATCTACATTCATTTTTTAATCAGGAGATATTGATGAATTATTGCTTGAGGATTGGGAATATAAGCAAGCACACATTCTGATTAGACTTTTCCTGGGAGCCACAGCTGTACCATGACTGTATTCCTCATCAGGCTGATCAGCTCTTGGTGTTCAAGTTTAAAATGTGTAATAGTCTGGTGTGGCCTTGGGTGCCGGGGTCTGATTTGAAGATACAGTTTACTCTATAGTGTGGAGAATGGAAACCATCACTGAAGAGCCCATTTTAGAATTCAGAGACACACCTGCTACCAGAGGAATTTTACATAGAGGCCTACTTAAGGGAAAACACATTGCTGATAATTTTTTTCTGTTGTGATTTTTAGCAAGGAATATTTCACATTTTTTGGAAGCACAGATTATCTGGTCAGGTGAATAATTTCCTCTCCAGTAAATCAATAGTGCCTTGTATGAAAACATAGAAGTCTCATCCATCCCTTTTAAATAAGAATGTTTTGAGATCCCCAAAGGCTGGAATTATGTTTCGGTCATCACTTTATTCCCCTTGCTAAGTGCCTTTCCTGGCACCAAGGAAATGTATTTTGAGTAAATGAATGTGTTCATGCATTGTCTGTCTGTAAAGGGGGCTTTGGATATCAGTCTCTTGGAGATGAGTCTATGAGGATTGCTGCAAATTCCCTGGCACTAGAGAATTCTATGATGTAAAAAGAATTTCTGGCTCCTTAACAAAGCCCAGGGATTTATAGGACTAGATAAAATTGCTTCCAAGGCATGCTGCTGATGTACATGTGTTGCACATAAAGTATCTTATTTGAGCCCCAAATGCTCACTACTATATCATGGAACAGTGCCCAGAAGTGTACTTCTGAGCAGAGGCAGACAATGTACACTGTGTTTACTTTGATCTGTGGTGTCAGTGAATCATTTTGTTTTGACCTCGCAGTGATTGATCTCAACAGAGAAACAGATCTTTAAAGGAACGTCATAGACCTTAAATAGAATTTTTTATTTGTTTTCTTGAGGGTAGGCTTGGGAATTCAGAAATGTGGAGGAAAGAAGGGCAGATGGTTAGTGTTGAAAGTTCAAAGGAGTTTAAGGAAGAAATTAGTAGAACAGGGCAAAATAATGAAATAAGAGAAATTGTGTTCAGCCCATGTTCCAGGTCTTCTCTTTTTGTTTCCTATCAGATGCAATGGTGCCCTTTTAGTTCCCTTGGTATCCAGGGAACTAATTTTCCCTCTATTTTTCTATTAAATCTTGCTCTTGAGAAACAGCAAAATAGCTCTATGTTAGAGTAATGATAATCTACTTCCTCTCCAAAAATACTTTCATGTTAATGGGAGAGAAACTTTGGATGAAAGAAGGAATAAATTGCTCCATATGGTTTTAGACAACAGTGAAGTAGGTGGAGGAGATATTTTAAGTTACATGAAAAGAGACTTACCCAGGCCCTCCTGAAATGATGTACCATAGACAACTCTAGCAGTAATGTTGCTTCCCCCTTAGAAACCAACAGCTGCCTTCCAGAATTGCCCTTGACTCCTAAGAGTTGGAAGCAATTCAAATTTGTTCATGGGATTTTCCCTAATCTGCACTGTGAAGACTGTCCAAAATAGTTGCTTTCTCTGAATTCAGATACTTCCATAACGTAGCAAAAGTTTAATAATTTTTACAGTATAAACTTGAAAAAATTATTTCCTTTTCTTTTGAATTTTATTTTATTTATATTTTTATACAGCAGGTTCTTATTAGTCATCCATTTTATACACATCAGTGTATACATGTCAATCCCAATCTCCCAATTCATCACACTGCCACCCACACCCCCTGTCGCTTTCCCCCCTTGGTGTCCATATGTTTGTTCTCTACATCTCTGTCTCAATTTCTGCCCTGCAAACCGGTTCATATGTACCATTTTTCTGGGTTACACATACACATGTTAATATACGATATTTGTTTTCCTTTCTGACTTACTTCACTCTGTATGACGCACTCTAAATCCATGCACGTCTCTACAAATGACCCAATTTTGTTCCTTTTTATGGCTGAGTAATATTCCATTGTATATATGTACCACATCTTCTATATCCATTCATCTGTATATGGGCATTTAGGTAGCTTCCATGAACATTGTGCTGCAATGAACATTGAGGTGCATGTGTCTTTTTGAATTATGGGTTTCTCTGGGAATATGCCCAGTAGTGGGATTGCTGGGTCATATGGTAATTCTATTTTTATTTTTTTAAGGAACATCCATACTGTTCTCCATAGTGGCTGCATCAATTTACATTCCCACCAACAGTGCAAGAGGGTTCCCTTTTCTCCACACCCTCTCCAGCATTTGTTGTTTGTAGATTTTCTGATGATGCCCATTGTAACTGGTGTGAGGTGATACCTCACTGTAGTTTTGATTTGCATTTCTCTAATAATTAGTGAATTCGAGCAGCTTTCCGTGTGCTTCTTGGCCATCTGTATGTCTTCTTTGGAGAAATGTCTATTTATGTCTTCTGCCCATTTTTGGATTGGGTTGTTTGT